ACACACACACACACACACACACACACAAGCACACATAAACACACTCAAATACACAAACAACAACAAAAACAACCACAACAACAACAACAACACCAACAACAACACACTCAAACAAACATGTATCTCACGTGCTCCACAGAAGCTCCAACACACCAACTCTCCGCCTCGGCCGGATACCCGGAAGGCGCGCATGGTTCAACTCGCAACTCACGAACTCTGACCTCTGCTGAAACCAGAGGAGGGACCCAACCCTCCACCTTCCCTGGTCCCAGTCGTGTCCCTGAACAGCTGACCGGTCGTGAAGCGAGCTCTAACCCCGATGTCGTGGCCCGTCCTGGAGCAAAAACGAAAAATGACCCCGTGACCCCCAATGGAGCCACTCAAAACCATGACGATTTACCCTATTCTGGAGCTAAACCCAACTCTGTCACCATGACCTCTCCCGGCGTAAAACGCAACCTTGACCCGTCGACCTCCCCCGCGGCTAAACGCAACCTTGACCCGTCGACCTCTCCCGGCGAAAAACGCAACCTTGACCCTGTAACCTCCCCTGTCCGCGTGGCGCCCCCTGGCGGTGCAGATGCCTCGGCCTCCGGTCTCGACGAGGAGGAAGGACGGGAAGAACAGGCTCGCCGACCTCTTGGGCCCGAGGCTGGACAACGCCAAATGGGTGAGTACATCATTGACACACATCAGTGACACACGTCCGCTGAATTATGTCATTGACACATGCTTAATTGACACACGTCATTGACACACGCTTAATTGACACACGTCATTGCACACATCATTGACTCACACAACGCCAAGTGGGTGAGTACATCATTGACACACACCTAATTGACACACGTCATTGAAACACACGTCATTGACACACACACTTAATTGACACACGTCAGTGCACAATTCATTGACACACACACAACGCCAAATGGGTGAGTACATCAGTGTCAAACGTCATTAACACACACACACACACATTATTGGCACACACACGTCATTGACACACATACATCATTGACACACACGTCATTGGCTCACGCACATCATTGACACTCGTCATTGACACCCGCGTAAACAAGTGAATCAGTGCGTCAGTGACACACTCGTGTCTGTAGTTACAAGTGGTGAGAAGAAGAAGAAGAAGAAGAAGAAGAAGAAGAAGAAGAAGAAGAAGAAGAAG